CGTCCGTTCCTCAGCGGAACGAACGTTCCTCAGCGGAACTCTTCCAGATCGCTTCGTCGCTCTTTTCTCGCGTTGTTCTCTTCACGTGTGATCCATCCCTAATGGTGTGTGACCCTGTAGGCCCATTCGAAGTGGCAGTGGCTTCGGAAACCTTTTCCGAACCACAAGTCATGGTTAGCCTCTAGCAAGACGCCATGACTACCCACCTAGTATAGAGTTAGAGGTGATCTAACAAAGCCATCAATGGTTCAAGTTCCGATCCTTTGTCTCGCGATGTCGTATGTTGAACAAGGGCATGGTTCGAGCCACCCTTCAAGTTCAACCGCTTACTCGTCTAGGCAAACCGACTGATAATATAGATGTACATTCATCTATAGCGTGGCCACGCATTTTCACAGTCCGATTTCCACGAGGGGCCCATCGACATCTCTCCTGCGTAGGAGGTGACAAGTCCCGTATTGCATGTCTACTATCTGCATATGATTCGTGAACGTATCTGAGCAACGCCGTTATGATCATCCGGTTAAAGACGACGTTTGACGCAGTCAAGACACGTCACTCCTCATATCAGATACTCTAGACATCTCAGGTCTGAGGATCCAAGAATGAACCGCTGTATGAGATTCAAGTCATTACTCATGTCCATGTGACAATCTCATGTGGGTCATCTAGTAACTCGTTCCAAACGAGAACCCATGATTGTGATTTGCGTCTAATGCATATGATCATAATCATCTATCACACATCATGCTGGTCTTAATTCATCATTGTTCCCACAATGATAACTGACCAGGGAGTTTAGAATCATCTGCAATGATTCAAGGATATTTACCGTAATATAACAAACATGCTAATCATATAACGGGAAAAATAATGCATTCATAAACCAATGAATCAATACATAGTCAAAATGTCATATCACGGATCATCGTAGAGCATTACAACCAACATGTGGGGTGTTTGGGCATAGTGCTCAACGATGCTCGATGTTCCGTCTTGTTTCCCAAGCTGATGGATTCGTCCAAGCTCCACCATCGCCTCAGTCATGGCCATCCTCCCCGCGCCCATGGCAACCACGAGCACATCACACCGTAATGCCGACTTACGACACCTCGGAATGGTTACTTGACAGTGGAGCATCTCATCATATCACATCGGATCTGCACAACTTAGCCCTACATAACCCATACCGTTGTGGAGAAGACGTGGTGATCGGAGATGACTCGGGCCTTCACATCTCCCATACCGGTTCATTATCTCTTACTCATCCTAATGGCTCGCTATCTCTTGATGATGTCTTATGTGTTCCTTCGATGACTAAGAATCTTATCTCTGTATCTCAATTGTGTAAGGCTAACCATGTCTCGGTGGAATTTTTCCCGCACTCTTTTCAGGTGAAGGATCTAAGCATGGGGGCGGTGATCCTAAACGGAAAAACTAAAGGTGGTGTCTATGAGTGGCCGGTTCCTTCATCTCCACCGAACCCCATCGTCTTGTCAAGTCAAAAGTCCACTTTGTCCGAGTGGCACTCTCGTCTAGGTCATCCATCTTTCCAAATTCTTCAACGTGTTATGTCGTTTCTTAAATTGTCATTGTCTCGGGATTCCTCATTTTTCCATTGTGATTCTTGCTCTAGAAATAAAAGCCATAAGTTACCATTTCATGATTCTACCATTACATCTTCTCGCCCTCTTGAACTCTTATTTTCGGATGTTTGGACTTCTCCCGTAATTTCCATGGATGGTTTCAAGTATTATGTCTTATTTGTAGATCATTTCACCCGTTATTCTTGGTTATATCCGCTAAAACAAAAATCCCAAGTTCATGAAACATTTGTTCGCTTCAAAAATCTTGTCGAAAATAAGTTTTCCACAAAAATTGTCTCGCTTTATACCGATAATGGGGGCGAATTCATTGCCTTAAAAGATTTTCTTGCAAGTCAAGGCATCTCCCATTATACAACCCCGCCTCACACTCCCGAGCATAATGGCATTTCAGAACGAAAACATCGGCATGTCGTAGAAACCGGTCTCTCCCTACTTCATAAAGCATCCTTACCCTTGTCCTTTTGGTCATTTGCCTTCACCACCGCTATATATCTCATAAACCGTCTCCCTACACCAGTCCTCTCCTTTGAGTCTCCATTTTCAACACTTTTTAACACACCTCCGAATTATGACAAACTCCACGTCTTTGGTTGCCTATGTTATCCGTGGATTCGCCCTTATAATTCTCACAAATTAGACCCAAAATCCAAACCATGTATCTTTCTTGGATACTCGCCCACTCAAAGTGCATTTCATTGTTATGACTTCATCAATTCTCGATTATTTGTGTCCAGACATGTGGTCTTTCATGATTCCATATTTCCATTTCTAAATGTCAACCAATTCCACTCACATCCGAAACCTTCCGAACCAGAAACCCATGTGCTCGAGTCACAACCAAACTCGGCCATTCCCACTTATTCATACATTCCACCGGTTACTCATACATCACCACCGACGCCTCCGAGCTCACCTCCTTCACCAGATCCAGCGCCGGATAATTCCGCCAGCACAAAGTCTACCACACAGCCGAGTACAGTGATGATTCCATCGCCGACAACATCAGCTCAACCTCTGGTCGCAGCGGAGCTGAATGTACCTCAGAACCAACATCGCATGGTCACTCGAGGGAAAAATAATATCTCCAAACCAGTTCAGAGGCTGATGTTGACAGTTTCTCTTTCCGATGTTGACAGCGAACCGAGAACCGTCGACAGGCATTACGAGATCCACGGTGGCGTTCCGCAATGACGGACGAGTTCAATGCACTTATACGGAACAAAACATGGGAACTCATTCAACAAACATCGGACATGAATATTGTGGGCTGCAAGTGGGTTTTCCGCACGAAAACCAACCCGGATGGAACGCTCGACAAGTATAAAGCGAGACTTGTCGCCAAAGGCTTTCACCAAAGACCCGGTATTGACTTCCATGAGACATTTAGCCCGGTGGTAAAACCCCCAACTATCCGCCTAGTCTTGAGCCTTGGAGTCACTCATGGGTGGCCAATACGTCAATTAGACGTAAATAATGCTTTTTTGCAAGGCCGACTCTCCGATGAAGTCTATATGAGCCAACCGCCGGGTTTTATCGACAAAAACCAACCTTCCTTCGTTTGCAAGCTTCACAAGGCTATTTATGGTCTCAAACAAGCACCTCGTGCTTGGTACTCGGAGCTACGGGGATTTCTCTTAACACGAGGATTTCACAACTCGAAGGCCGATGCGTCCTTGTTTATACTTCGAACAAAGGACTCATGTCTTTATGTGCTTGTTTAGTTGATGACTTAATTGTCACAGGCAGTAGCTCGGATCAGATTAACTCTTTCATCTCGAGTCTTGCAGATCGCTTTGCTTTAAAGGATCTTGGTCCCCTTTCCTGCTTCCTTGGCGTGGAAGCAACCCGAACATCTCGTGGATTATTCCTCAATCAACGAAAGTACATCGTCGACCTCCTTCATCGAACCTCCATGCACGAAGCCAAGGCTGTTGCCACACCCATGGCATCGACGTCGCGCCTCACCTTGACAGCCGGAACACCATTATCAGATGGCTTGGAATATCGGACTGTTGTGGGCAGCTTACAATATTTGTCATTGACGCGCCCCGACATCAGCTATTCGGTAAACAAACTCTCTCAATATATGCATTGTCCCACTGACATTCATTGGGCTGCAGCGAAACGGATATTGCGGTATCTCTCGGGAACTCGAAACATGGGAATTTTTCTCTCGGCCACGAATAGTCCAACACTCCATGCCTTTAGTGATGCAGATTGGGCAGGAGATCCCGGAGACCTTAAATCTACAGGAGCGTTCATCATCTACTTTGGGAAGCATCCGATTTCGTGGTCTTCAAAGAAGCTACCGGGCCATTCACGATCCTCAACCGAAGCCGAGTACCGTTCAGTTGCAAACACTTCGGCAGAATTGCGATGGCTGGTCTCCCTTCTCTCAGAACTTGGCATCACATCAATGTCAACACCGACAATCTATTGTGATAACATCGGCGTGACGTATCTCAGTGCAAATCCCGTCTTCCACTCCCGCATGAAACATTTGGCTTTGGATTATCTGTTTGTTCGTGGACAAGTCGAAGCCGGTAAACTTCATGTCCTTCACGTCACCTCAAAGGACCAACTCGCCGACGCCTTAACAAAACCGTTGCCTCGTACTCTGTTTCAGGATTTGTGCATCAAGATCGGAGTTACCTTCGACCCTCCGTCTTGAGGGGGCGTGTTAGTGATCGTAATCTTTTGTATTAGGAAAGTGCCATACATATAGCATATATTGTTACGTAAATCTCTCCATTAGTTATTCTCTATGTATCTATATAAGTGTACAATCAGTGGATAATAAAGTGTGCGATTCCATTCTCTCTTTTAATAACAACCTGGAAATCAGCTCACAGTGCATAGATTCCAATCGCATTTCAGCGACCAACCGTTGTTCCAACTGAGGATTCCACGTAAAAAAAAATAAATTAGACTTGTAAAAGAATAAATCTTTTTTTTTTCCCGAAATTATTACCTCTTGATTATATTTATTACAACGTGGATAGTTTACCTCTTTGTTATGCAGACTATATCCCGTCAAATGGCCCGTCCAATCAGAACATCGGGTTTACATGTAATAAAACAACATATGATATGAAAGATAAACGACGCGAGGACGTGTTAACACACGAATATAACGGATTCACCGTCCACGTATATGTTCGGGAAGGTCGATATATTTCTGTAACGTTTCTTCACTCATGTTAAAAATAACCATATAATAAGATACCGAATACACGAAAACATGCTAAGATTTTAAAGATTAAATTGTGTATAGATAAAAAAGGGAAAAAAATTTACCTATTCTTGCCATGAAAAAGGAAGAGTTTACCAGCGGGGGAAAACAGAAGGAGAGTTCGTAGGATTTCTTCACGATCCCGTTTTTCCTTTTGTCAGATGCCACATGTGTCTCCTTGCTCTGTCCTCTATTTTCTTCATCTGTATCTTCACTCTCCCCATTATGCTTCTCGATTTCTCACAATCTATTTTTTTCCCTTTATATTCATGATGGGGATGGATTTTATGCACATATGAAGACTAGATTCTTCATTAAATATTATTTAAGATAAATAAAACCATATAATCTTGACCTTATTATGTGTAACGGATATCTTTTGAATTAAGTAACGACAACAATATTGCGGATCGAAAGACATATGAACTGTAAAAAAGTAATAGTTCCAATAAATAAATTGCACATGAAACTGAAATGGTTAATGTTATTTCGACAGAAATCGAGAGTCGTAGATTTATCTACTTCGATTTTGTAAAATCCTATCTTGTTGGAAGATGTGCCATTCATCGTTGTTTAAGATGCAAAGTGTAATATACAGAGGAAACAGACAAGTAGAAAGTATAAAAGATCCGAGACAGGAGAGACTGAAACTGAAGCGCGTGCATCCACGAGCCAACCACGTTTTATCCGTACGACGGCATGCACGTGGCACGATCTCCATCGTTCCTTCTTGTGTTCGACCCTCTTTGGATCTCGCCACGTCATTATCCGAATTGAGATTATGCAATAAATGTCTTGACAAAACAATGATCAATTAGAGAAAATTGTTTAGAAATCTAAACTTACGCGAAAGGGAAAGAAAACTTTTTGCAAATAAAAAATCTGAACTTTCCTCCTGTCTGGACGATTTCATAACTTATGGTGTAAATGTGTATATTTAGACATTTATCCAAAAAAAAAGTGTATATATTTAGAGATAAACTATAAAGAAAGAAACTTTACCGAATGAGTGAGAAAAGAATCAATGACGGAGGATTTGGAGTGACATGGTTTATGCAGCTTCCTATAAATACGATATTTTTGTGTGGAATTAAAGGGGTCGAAGAGGCCGACGTGTATCGCACCAGGGGAAAAGAAAAAAGAAAAAAAGTCAGATTGCCAGATCCCACTAAATCAACGAGCTTAAACGAGCTATCTCCTCTTCTTTCATGTACAAACTCCATTCCTAACATGGATGCAAATGTTTTTGCTCGTATTGGAAGCAACCAGCCAAATGATTTGGATCCATCTGCAGGGGCGCCTGGTAAGAACTCATTCTCAACCAGTGTGGTTGAAAGAGAAGGGGCTTCTCCTTCGCATCTTCCATCTTCCTTGGATGCTTCATTACCGGGTTTAACTGGAAACGGGCATGGTTTGGATATCGGGAGGATGTCATTAAATGATTTTGAAGACAGATCTAACAACTCTCGGGAGATGAAGACAGATGCCCCTGGAAGAGCGCGACCAGCCGCTGTTGATAATCGAGGATGAAGAAGAGACAGCGTACGAGAAAACGGAGAAGGTTCACATTGCGGAGGAGGGAGACGAGACGGACATCGAGTACGGTGGCGGTGTTGGGTGCGGCGGAGCTCCGCCGTTCTCGTGGCGGAAGCTGTGGCTATTCACCGGACCTGGGTTTCTCATGAGCATCGCGTTCCTCGATCCGGGGAATCTCGAAGGGGATCTTCAGGCCGGAGCCATCGCCGGTTACTCGCTGCTCTGGCTGCTGATGTGGGCGACGGCGATGGGGCTTCTGGTTCAGCTATTGTCGGCGAGGCTAGGCGTCGCGACAGGCCGTCACTTGGCTGAGCTCTGTCGGGACGAGTACCCGACATGGGCGAGGATGGTGTTGTGGATTATGGCGGAACTCGCCCTGATTGGCTCCGATATTCAGGAGGTCATCGGGAGCGCAATCGCCATCAAGATTCTGTCGAATGGGGTTTTGCCTCTCTGGGCTGGTGTCGTTATCACTGCTCTCGATTGGTAAATTTCTCCCTCAAATTTTGTAAACTTTTTACTGCAATCTACTGGTTTCGTCTCTGGGATTTAGCATCTGAATTTAGGATTGTGTTGATGTGCGAAAAATTCGGTATTGGTGTTGTTCTGATTTGTGAGTCTCTATCATGTTTTCCTCGTACTGTGTTTAATCCTTGGGATATTGAGGTGTGTTGGCTTGTTTTGTTCTGTGGTTTCTGTTGTCCCTTTTCACGTACCAGAAGATTAGAAAAACCAAAACTTTCTTGTTCTTTCTTGCTGTCTCCTCTGTGGTTAAAGCTGATGACTGTTGCTTGTTTGGTTCTTTGATTCTGGCCACAGTTTCATCTTTCTGTTTCTTGAGAACTACGGAATAAGGAAGCTGGAGGCAGTGTTCGCGGTTCTTATTGCCACAATGGCACTATCCTTCGCCTGGATGTTCGGTCAGGCCAAGCCCAGTGGCACCGAGCTTCTCGTGGGTTAGAACGCTGTCTTGTCTTGAACTTGGACATTTACCTTCTTCAAGTATGGTGAGGACCACTTCTAATCAAAAGTTTATTTTGTAATTTTCGGGCAGGCATGTTGGTTCCAAGACTCAGCTCAAGAACAATACAGCAGGCAGTTGGAGTCGTAGGCTGTATAATAATGCCTCACAATGTGTTTCTTCATTCTGCTTTGGTCCAATCGAGGGAAGTTGACCAGCGAAAAAGATACCGTGTTCAGGAAGCCCTGAACTATTACACCATTGAGTCGACCCTTGCTCTAGTTGTCTCGTTCGCGATCAATCTGTTTGTCACAACAGTGTTCGCCAAAGGGTTTTATGGTACAGAGATCGCCAATGGTATCGGCCTTGTGAATGCAGGAGAGTACCTTCAAGAGAAATATGGAGGTGGCTTGTTCCCGATACTATACATATGGGGTATCGGCTTATTAGCGGCTGGGCAGAGTAGCACCATTACGGGTACTTACGCAGGGCAGTTTATAATGGGCGGTTTTCTCAACTTGAGGTTGAAGAAATGGTTGAGGGCTTTGATCACACGTAGCTTTGCCATCATTCCAACCATGATCGTTGCTCTCATTTTCGATTCATCAGAGTCTACACTCGATGTTCTGAACGAGTGGCTGAATGTTCTCCAATCCGTTCAAATCCCCTTTGCACTCATCCCTTTGCTGTGTTTGGTTTCTAAGGAGCAACTCATGGGTAGTTTCAAGATTGGTCCTTTTTACCAGGTAACCTCTTAATTCATGAAAACATTACTAGGGTTCTGCAAGAACTTGCTGTATACGGAAAAGGGTATATATATACCATCTTGTTATGACCGTTATTAATGTTTCCGTTTTCGAGCAGACAGTAGCGTGGCTCGTGGCTGCTCTAGTGATAGCAATCAACGGCTACCTCTTGCTGGAGTTTTTCACGTCGGAAGTCAGCGGAATTATGTTCACGTCGGTGGTTTCGGCTTTCACAGCCGCATATGTAGCATTCATAGTGTACCTCATCTCTCGTGGCTTCACTTTCACCCCGTCCCGTTTCAAAGCTCATCCCAACCTTTGAACCCTAAACCCCGACCAGACCCGACCCGAATAACATTAGGGCCTGTCCTAGTGTTTGGCTGTTTGTTTGGGACTCTGCCCTCCCTGTAGTGTTGTATTATGTAAGCTGTTTTTTTTTTGTCTTAAGCATTTAGTTGGAAACCAGACATGTAGGATCTTCTTCTTGTATCAGTAATGAACACAATCATATGATAAAGGATCAACCCAATTCCTATCCCATCTAGTGGGAGTGTCGGGAAGAGAATATACTATGCCACTTTACCCTTACATTTTAACGTAGGGAGATGGATTCGAATCATATGATGATTACAGATTTTCCTCTCTCCCTCTCGTTCTTAAGATATGATCGTAAGTTCCTACGTTGACATTGGTTAAGAAAGGGATCGGAGGTCGATTTCAACTCAAGAAGAACAAAGAGATATTAAACATTTTTTTAACATATACTTGTCTTAAAGTTATGGAATATCTTTTAATTGTCAGCGCTTAATATTGATTTTAAATTTAAATTTTTGTATGATTGTGAGTTCGGAATGGAACGATGATGTAAATGTCAAATGAAGGCTAAACCGGCCAAAACCTTAGGCCATATGATGAGAGCGCTTTGTCGTCCTGGCGCTAGCAAATTTTCGATCTGACGATAGCCAATACTCGAAGATCCGAGGGGGAAGGGATCACTGTTCTTGCAAACCCGGACCAGATTGCTTAAGCGCTGAAACACAATCGGGGAGAGAGAGAGAGAGGGGTTGCTCTCTCTTATCCATTGTTCTCCACGTGCATGCAGGTACTCCGTTTATTCTCCCTCTCTCTCTTTCTCTTCGATCATCTTAGGGTTTCTTTCTTGTTCTGTAGGCTCTCCTTTGGCTTTCATCTTCGAGATCGATTGATCAAATTACTTTTGTTTCCTCGTTCGATTTTTAGGATTCGGGTTTCTCTTAGGGTTTTCTTACTGCCCATTGTTTTGAATGTCAGGGAAAAAGTCTCGAGACAATGATGAGTGAATGGGAACTGTGTTGTTTTCGATGGCGTTTCCCTTGATGGTTTCTCCAAACTTCTCGATCCTTTGAAACTTGTTTGGTATGATACGATTCGTGTCGTGCGCAGTGTAAACGCGTGACTGCATTCCGGGTTGAGCTAGTTCTCTGTTCTTAAAAAGCCCCGTGTCTCGTTGATCCAAGTTTCGATCTTTTTACTGGATTTTGAACTGTCGGTGGATTTGGATTGTGGGTTTTGATGCTTGCAGGGGGGAAATGGAGATATCCGTGTTGAGAGTTCTTCTCGGCAGTATCTCGTCGTTTCTAAATCTCTCATCTTCCAGGCATATCGGTTTGGATCCACTTGGGAAGTATTACAAGAGAGTGGAGGACTTATTGAGAGTGTTGAAGCCGGTAATAGATGTTGTTGTTAATTCTGATATTGATCTTGAGGATAAACTTGTTAAGGAATTCGAAGAATTGGCTAGAGATGTTGATCAATCGAGGGAGCTTTTTAGGAGCTGGCAACCGTTCTCGAGCAAAGTTTATTTCGTAAGTATTGAACTTCTTTGTCTCAGGTGGTCTGAAGGTTCCCTAAATGTACCAACTAGTTTGGTTGTATGAAAATTGCATAATCCTGTGGTGCTTCATCGTCATGCCATAGAAAATGGGATTGGACAGAGTTTCGATGAACTTTTCAATGCATTTGCTTCAATATAGCTAATTGTCTTTTACTGTAGAATAATGGCACTAATGCTTTCATCAAGGTAAGTTGCTGGCCCTTCGGTTTAATATACCTGTTAGGGTTATGATTACTGAGATTATGTTTTCATCATGGAATTTCATGTCCAGGTCCTCCAAATTGAATCCTTCATGCTGAAGATGCGGGATTCTATTGTGGATACTTTCCAGCTTCTTAAGACCTCTCAGAACCATTTACCTGATGAGTTGAATCCGGGTTTGCTCGAGGTATGACATTTAGCTGATTCTTCTATCAGTTTTTGCGGTATAAAGGTAGTTATTCTTGGTCCAGCTTTCATCGGGAAACTTAAGTTTCTTACAAATGCTAAATTTTTGGGATCTTCTAGCTCTTAATTTTGCTGGCTGCTCTCTTTTTGCTCTAATGCCTACATCAGAAAGTGGCGTGAGTTTCAGTTAATTTCAGCGCTTAAAGGACTGATATTCATATTTGCAGCGCTGTTTAGAGAAGATAAAGCATCTGAGTTATGAAGAAATATCTTCTGTTATTGATGGTGCGTTGAGGGATCAAAGAGATGGTGTTGGACCCAGCCCAGAGATATTGGTGAAAATCGGAGAGGAGACTGGGCTGAGGTCAAACCAAGAGATACTGATTGAAGCTGTTTCTCTCGAGAAGCAGAAGGAGATTGCCGAGCAAACTGAAAAGAATGGAGAAGTCGAGTTTCTTGATCAACTGATATCTGTTGTAAACCGCATGCACGAGCGCCTTCTTCTGATCAAACAGACTCAGACATCTAGCTCTATCCCGATTCTTGCTGATTTCTTTTGCCCTCTGTCCCTTGAAGTGATGACCGATCCAGTGATCGTGTCATCAGGGCAAACATATGAAAGGGCGTTCATCAAGAAATGGATTGATTTAGGTCTAACAGTTTGTCCAAAGACTCGGCAGACTCTGAATCACACAACCCTTATACCCAATTACACCGTGAAGGCCTTAATCGTTAACTGGTGTGAGACCAACAATGTCAGATTGCCAGATCCCACTAAATCAACGAGCTTAAACGAGCTATCTCCTCTTCTTTCATGTACAAACTCCATTCCTAACATGGATGCAAATGTTTTTGCTCGTATTGGAAGCAACCAGCCAAATGATTTGGATCCATCTGCAGGGGCGCCTGGTAAGAACTCATTCTCAACCAGTGTGGTTGAAAGAGAAGGGGCTTCTCCTTCGCATCTTCCATCTTCCTTGGATGCTTCATTACCGGGTTTAACTGGAAACGGGCATGGTTTGGATATCGGGAGGATGTCATTAAATGATTTTGAAGACAGATCTAACAACTCTCGGGAGATGAAGACAGATGCCCCTGGCCGATTTTCTGTGTCATCAACTAGAAGAGGCTCAGTTGATGCTGCTGAAAATGGGCAAGTATCTGAGCATCACTATAGGTCTGCCTCTGCTTCTAGCACTGTTTCCAATGAAGAGTTTCCAAGAGTGTTATCGGCAGATGGGAATGAGAATTCAGAAGAGTCGGCTCATGCTACTCCTTACACCAGTGATGCTTCGGGAGAAATGAGACGGGAGCCCCTTACTGCAGCCGCCTCCTCAGCAACTCCTCGTAGAGATTCCTCTGAATTCTCGCCGAAACTGATGGATAGGCGTACCCGTGGCCAATCATTCTGGCGTCGGCCCTCAGAGAGACTTGGTTCCAGGATTGTATCGGCACCCTCGAACGAGACAAGGCGGGATCTTTCTGAGGTGGAAACTCAAGTTAAGAAACTGGTCGAGGAATTGAAAAGCGGGTCAGTGGATACCCAGAGGAAAGCGACTGGGGAAATTAGGTTGCTGGCAAAGCACAACATGGATAACCGGATAGTGATAGCAAACTGTGGAGCGATTAGCTTGTTAGTGGATCTTCTTTACTCGAGTGACTCGGAAACCCAGGAACACGCTGTTACCGCCCTTCTAAACTTGTCCATCAATGACAACAACAAAAGGGCAATTGCTGATGCCGGTGCAATCGAGCCACTGATTCATGTGCTCCAAACCGGTAGCTCTGAAGCGAAAGAGAATTCAGCGGCTACCCTATTCAGCTTATCGGTAATAGAAGAGAACAAGATTAAGATCGGGAGGTCGGGTGCGATAGGGCCACTTGTGGATCTACTTGGAACGGGGACACCACGGGGAAAGAAAGACGCAGCCACTGCATTGTTCAACCTATCGATACACCATGAGAACAAGGCAAGGATAGTGCAAGCAGGGGCGGTGAGGCATCTGATAGATCTGATGGACCCAGCAGGAGGGATGGTGGATAAAGCGGTAGCGGTAATGGCGAATCTGGCAACGATACCGGAGGGAAGAAACGGGATAGGGCAGGAAGGAGGGATACCGTTGCTGGTGGAGGTGGTCGAGTTGGGATCGGCCAGAGGGAAGGAGAATGCAGCAGCGGCTCTTCTTCAACTTTGCACGAACAGTGGTCGGTTCTGCAACATGGTCCTTCAGGAAGGAGCCATTCCTCCTCTCGTTGCTCTCTCGCAATCTGGTACTCCCCGAGCCCGGGAAAAGGTACGACAACGATCTTCTTTCTGAAAGGTTGTTCCTTTTTTTTATTGGGCTGTCTGAATATGAAACAGGTAACATTTGCAACCAGAAAAAAAAAAAACATTATGCTGTCATGTTTTTACAGGCACAGGCACTTCTCAGCTACTTCAGGAATCAACGCCATGGCAACGCAGGTCGTGGCTGATGTTGTTGTTATGGAGAGTTCCTTCTCTTCTGCAAATATTTTCATTACCAACGTTCTTCTTATTTATGCATTCTTTTTTTTTTTTGTCTTCTGAATCCCTTAGAGAGAAATTTGATTGTGAATGTGAATGTGAATGTGGAAATGACAAGAACGACTTCATAGTTGTAGATTAAATTGTTTGGACCGTTGAGTTCGTCCACTTGGAACTTTCCCGGTACCTTCAGACCAATTTACTTGGGAATATTTTTTTGTCACACAAAAAAAAGGATGGAATATTTGTTTAATGCCAATTTAAATATTTATATGATATATCTTTCTTGTAATTGTGGTCGATATTTTTCTTGTGATCAGTAAAAGATTTCAAAACAATTAGATTTATTTTTTCCTAGCATCTTACTGGTACAGGAAAATGGCTTTTTTTTATAAAAAAAAGAGAGAAAAAAAATATAGAGAGAGAAAGACAGTATAAGAACACGAGAAAGAGTGGGCCCTACTTGTGTTTTTTGAAGATAAAACTGGGGAGCAAAGGCGCAGAGAGAATTTTCTACCACGCTCGTCATCGGAAACTATGGGATCTCCACCTCTCCTCCGTCGCATTTTCTGCCGCCGGTGATCTCCTTCCTTCGCACTTAAATTATCCTATCTCCCTATCTGCTCATCCTTTGGTATTCCGCCCCCCTCTTTTTTTTCAATTAGTCCTAGGGTTTGCGCCATATGTTTCCATTCGACTTGCGTTTTTCGCCACGATTGAGCTTCGAATTCCTTCTGATTTCGCTTCCATTGTTTATGTCGTCGCATTCTTCTAATTTTACGCATATGTATTGCGTGTCTCTGCGTTTCCATTTCAGATGACTATGGGCATGGGGAATAAGTTCCCGAATTAGGATATCTGCAAAATTGGTTGGATTATTGGTTTGCTTGAATGGATTAGCAAGGAAGTTGTTTTTTCTTCTCTCCTTACTCGTATACTTGTTGCTTTACAATCTTATGTTTTTCACTGCCAACGTTTCTTGATATGTAGATGATCGAACTGGTATTATTTAGGCTGAAATTGCTTTTGTTCTTATTTAGAAGATGGTTAACGTTAAACCAATCTGATCATCAGACCCCCTTTCCCTCTCTCCCCCCTTCAAATCCGATTTTGTCACAGATGCTCTCGAGTCTCAGTCTCTGATCTATACAAAATGATATTGGACAAACATCTTACGTTTCTTATAGGGTTACCAAGCGGAAGTTAAAAGATTTTTTGTATGGAGCTGAAGGAGTTAAAAGTAGAGATGGATGCTTCAACCTGTAAAGACAATGAAACCCAACTGAAAGAAACACAAGAGAAGTCCATGCACTGTACGAGTAACTGCGAGGACCACAGTTTCTATGTAGAAGAGTCTTCCGAAGATCATTTGGATGGTGATGCTTCTATTAGAAAAGAGGTTCTCGAGGTTGATATAGAGGGATGCACAGATCTAAATGACGACAAATTGGAATTATCAGAATGCAACGATGGGACAGAGGGGTATTCGAGCTCATTTAGTGGAACGGGTTCTGAATCTGAGAACGGAACAGCATTGAACGATCAAGAAGCTGATTCCTTGATGTATACCAATACCACTCTACCACTTTGGGTGAGGTGAGACCCCTTTCACACTTATGGTAGATCATTTTGATTATTTTCTTTTCTAGGACGTGCTTTAAAGTTTGCTTCTTTAGCTATATAAGCTTTGCTATAACGTGGTTCGGATTAATCCCCTCAAAATGAAGTTGGTATTTTGATTTGTATTATGCTTTGGTTGATCTTCGTTATGCTTTTTTTTTTTTTTAACTTTTGCAGAAAGAAAAGGCTGACAGATCATTGGAGGAGGTTTATACAGCCTATAATGTGGCGATGTAAATGGCTAGAACTCAGGATGAAAGAACTTCAGTCACGGGCACAAAAGTATGACAAAGAACTCGAAGTATATTATCAAGCCAAGCAGTTTGAATTAGAAAGTCTCAAGTCAGAAGGGCTTGCATCGAAGGAACTACTGCTCTCATGTCATACTAAAACAAATGGAGTTGTGAAGAGGAAAAAAAGAAAGCGAGTGGAAGAAACCACAGAAAGTTCATCCTATATGTTGAGCCATAATCTCTTCTCTTATCATGGTAGGAAATATCCTTTGGATTCTCAGTGTTCTTCATTCAGTATTGCGTGTCTGAAAATTCTCATTTTCATTTCGCTGGTATATTTTTGCTCCCCAGAGTACCGGAAATCCTCCGCTGATGGCGCTCTCCTGAATGATAATTTTTGCAATTCAGGTATCATGTTCTGAATCCCAACTCTGGAATATCCGCCTATCGACAATGTTCAGCATAACATTTTTGCAAAGCTTGAATATTTAGTTCCAGACTGTTGGTATGGTATTAGATATCTCAATCCAATGTCGTATCTGCCTTGCCTTCTGGGTAACCTCTGGTAGAACATCATCTTTCAGTTCCAGAATCAAAAGCATTGGGTATGAAATGGGAACCAATCAGATCAAGACAAAATATGGCTGTGAAATTTCATGACAGAAAGTTATAGACATTTTCTAATTTGATCACAATTCTGTATAGTCTTACAGCCTGAGTGTTACTGTTTCTTTTTTTTTTTTTTTTGCCTTGCTTGTGATTTAACAGATAATAGGGCTAAGAACGCCAAGAACGTGAGAGTTTTCAACGAAGAATCGCCATTTCTCGAGCTTAGAGAAGGTGATGAGTACTTGGAACAGATACTTTTGAAGATTGAAGCAGCAAAGTCAGAAGCCCGTAATTTGAAGAACCGGGTAGACAAAATGTTGAGTGAATTTCCCGGGAGATTTTCTTCGGCTAACTCACTGGTTTTTCCTGGATCAGCTGATGCTTTAACCAGCTCTGATCAAAAGCCCCAGTTGTTTCTTGAAAACGAAGATGGAAAACCAATTAATTCCATGTCTGTATCATCTCGTCATATCATGCCCGAAGACAGTACAAGAGATAGTTTGATGTCTGAGAATGCTGCAGTTTCAAGTCAAGGAGAAGAAAAAACTTTTCCTGATAAGAAGCCATTAAACACAGAGCAAACATCAATCGAGGGTCCATCGAGAAGTGTAAGTCTTGGTCATGATTAATTTTTCAAGATCAATGAACTATAATTCCATTTGGGTATCTTTCGAGCTTTCTGTTTAGATTCATGAGCGAAGTTATATATGTCATCTATATCTTTGGTCAAGAGTTTATATCAAGAGCTTTATAACCATGGCGCAGGCAAGGAAAAGAACACCGCGAAATCGGGAGGCAATTGAAGGGACCAGACAGAGGCCTCGAATTTCGAAAGAGAAGCCAAAAACAAATGTAATGGCTTCAAGGTTTAAGGTTCCCAAGAGAAAGAGGAAGCGGGGAAAGTCGAGATCAGCCTCGTCTGGGATTAGACGACGATCCTAAAAAACCGAAGAAGAACAATCAAACTTTATGTACATTCAGCAACAACATATTTTGCTTCTTTAACCTTTTTTTGGGGGTTCCTTTTTTAAAACCATCTCTTCTACAGGAAAGAGATAGGATGTAGGGAGAGTACATTATTTAAGGAACGTCCTTCTGGAGAGTTTGGCAGAGACGATGGCCAAGATGGTGACAGAAGGGACGAAGATGACGTCAGGTACGAGTTTGAGTAACTTTAACTGAGGAACATTCTCTCCCGCTCTCTTAGCCGCCATAGCCGCCGGCGGTGAGACTATTCCGGTGATCAGAGTGGTGTCGTCGAGTTTGCTTGGCTTTACGCTCTTTGTCATGAATTCGATGAACACCGTTTTCTTCTCTTCCTCGTCCCTCGCTTCCTCCCATCTCTTGAAACATTCCTGTTATCTTTCAACAGATTATGTTTTTGTCAAATCTGTCTTTCTCTGTGAAGTTGTGTTTCTTAGAAAATGGAGTGCAGATACGAGAAGAGAGTAAGGGAATTGTATGCAATTCCACGTACAAGGTAGGGACTCGCCTTAATCTCATCTGGGGTCGGAAAGTCGAAGTGCTTGCCTGGCAATGCCGAGTTGAAGTTGCTATCACCATTCCATCAAAAAAAGGAATCGCAATTAAGTGCTTGAACCTAACAGATAGTGTGTGTGTGTGTTGGTAAAGGTTGAGAGAAGAGAAGACAAAGACTTGATAGAAAACCTCACTTGAAGATGTCCAAAACAGCGACATGGAAATCCTCGAAACTGTCGATACGTTTTTGGGTGAATTGCTTGTAGAGTGAACCCATCACCACATTCAGCAATTGCGTTGGTGCCAACCCTTTAACCAAAAAAAAAAAAGACAACAAAAAGAAAAGCGGATGATTGCGAGTTTTGTCTTGTCTCAATGAAAAAACGATGATGATGTACAAGAAACAGTGCAATGATTGCAAAACCTTTTCCCAGAAAACCCATTGAGCCTCCCATGTTGTTGTCAAGTTGAACGTTTAACAGATCAACAATATCCAAATGTCTTCTCCCGAGTTTTTTTGTGTGTGTGTGTGTATATATATAAGGGAGTTGTGGTTGATGCGTTGATGAAATGACTTTGGCATGGTGTGTTTGGTTCGTTATCAAAGCCAAGAATCATAGCAATCATGTGTTAGGTTTAGTATAACTTGCTTTGTATTGCATTCGTTGCTTTAGTTTTTTTTTTTTTTTTTTTTTTTGAGATGTGAATATAACTTTTATGGAGTTTTTGGGTTCTTACTGGGAAACAGCTTGGATTTGGGAGGTTTCCCATTTGATTTTTTTCTTTTGTTTTTTTTTTTTTTTTTTTTTTTGTTCGAGTGGGAATGACTTGTACGTGCAATCTACGTATTCCTTTTCCACGAAACACGTACACCCCCGCTTTGCAATGACAACATAGTACCAATACCCTCCTTCAATTTGTATCTAGATCCCTTTAAGAATGCCATGTTAGATCTTTGTCTGCCTAATTTTTTATCCATTAATTTTTTTTTAAAAAAAAGGCGAGGTGGTAATGGACCGTATGTGGCGAAAAAAGATAACTACAACGGATAGTAATAATTAAATTTTTATTTCAAATTGGCCAAGTTGCAATAAATCAACAGTAAGTCTGTAAGAAACTTTTATTAACTGGTGGACAGTTGTGAATTTCATTACATTTAGATTATTATATATAATACAAGATCCGTCGGCGAAGCTGACAGCTCTGATCTGGCGTTAGATAAAATCATCTGATTTAACCTTTTTTCTTTTTGAGAGACGCCCGATGTGAATAATAATAATAATGTGGTAAAATTAATATTTGTACGACAAACAATATGGGGTCACTTCAATGAAGGGATATGACAACGAGTAAAGACGTTTGTCGGTGAAAGACAAAGGCAATGTGTATTGTGTGTCCATCCCATCTACTCAACCATATATTATTTTTCATACAAAAATGGTACAATAAGAAATCAATGAAATTGTAATAACACTCGTACCAAACAGCGATTCAAATGTAAATTAATAACAATAACAATAATTGGCTTAGAAGGCCAAAGAAATGACGGCCCACGTGGCTGCCGCCGCGCCCATCACGCTCCGCAGCACCCTTCTGCTCCCTGCTCCGCTCTGTTTTTCCATTTTATTTCACCATTTTTTAGAAATTATTCGAATATTAATTTCTTTTACTTATCCTAATTAGAGGCTGTTAAAACATTATCTCAGTGATTATCTGCAGTGCAAGGGAAAAAGTAATTGAAGCAACGGGTAATTAATTCATAAACGTACCTGATCGTCGGCGGCGGTAGACGGACCAGGAGAGGATGCGTCCAGGCTAGGTCCTGGAGCCTCCATCGGAGGCGCTGGTGGTCCGAGAAGCTCCGGCGCCGGAGCAGGCGAGCTCTCGTGCTTCTTCCCCTTCTTAGTCTTCTTCTTCTGCTTGCTCGGAGCCGGAGCCGGAACCTCCGCACTCGGAGCCACCACCGGAGGCGGAACATCGGCGCTGGGAGCCAACTCCGGAGGCGGAACCTCGGCGCTAGGAGCCACCACCGGAGCCGGAGGCGCCTTCGCCTTGGGCGCCGGAGCTGGCGGAGAGCTCTCGGGAGCCGGAGGGGAGATCACGGGGGCAGAAGCCGGGGGAGAGCTGACAGGCGCCGGAGGTTTGGGAGCTTCTACCGGTGTCTCGGTCGATGACTTCGCCGGAGCCGCTGCGGGAGTAGAAACGGAAGAGTGAGAAGCGGGAGAAGTGGCGGGAGCTGGAGACTTGGGCTTCTCGGGAGATTTGGCGGGTGATGCGGTCGGAGTTGCGGGAGAGGTAGTAGGAGAAGCTGCCGGAGACTGGCCGCCGACGCCGGCGAAGACAATGCAGATCAATGTGGCCGTGAGAAGGGCCTTGCGATCCATGGCTTAGAAGGACAAACCGAGATAGAAGGGCGAAGAGAGTGGGGGAGAGAGAAGGGCGCGTGTGGTGCAGTGAGTGAGAGAGAAGGGGTAATATATAGGAGAGGGGGAGAGATCTGGACCGTTGGATCAAAAGTGCCCTAAGGACTATGGGCCAGAAATAGCCGTTGAGAACAGAGAATAAAAACCAAATAAGTGGGACCCATAAGGGAAACACTGGTCGGCCCAGTCTGGCTGTGGGGCCCAGCTAATTTTTTTTTTGTGAATAATGTTTCTCCGGCGGAAATTAAATGTCGTAAAAATGTAATAAGATTGTTTTATTTTTCTAGATAATTTTTTAAAAAAATTAATAATTTTATTTTTAATTAAAATTATTACAATTTCAATAAATTTTTAATAACAATATGTTTTTTTATCATTAAACATATATCAATTATATGTATATAAAACTTATAGCATAAAATGTTGCCGCAAGTGAAATATTAAATAAGTTCCTATTTTTGTTTGGGTGTTAATGAAACCAATCTAAAGACTTTGAGATGTTCGTCTGTTTTTTATAAAGGGTTTAATCAAGTTTTATTGATTTCAATAAAATGGAGGATTAACGTGAAATCAATTTTACTGAGATTACGAGAGAAGGCAACAATAATAGACAAATTATGAAAAGCAAAGGAGAGAATTAGGAATTGCAAAAGATCCTCTGGACAGCTGGGTGATTTGATTGGTTCCCCCACCGTGTTACTCACCTGTCCTCCAAATTTTGCAATAATTTGCGCTCATTTCATTTCATTTCATACCTTTTTTCTATTTTAAAATTAAAAAAAAGAAAAAAGAAGAAGAAATAAACTGGGATTTACACAGTAATACCCCACGGCCGCGCACACCACCTGCCCAGTGCACATCACATCCTCCTCGCGTAAAAAAAACAAAAGATAGGCGAAATCAATTTGGTTTAATCTTAATATTGGATAATTATCTGACAGAAAAGACTAGGGGTGGGCGTTTCGGGAAACGGTTCGGGTTCGGGACGGAATAGATCGGTTCGGTTCTTTCGGTTTTACAAAAACAATCGGGTTTTTTATTGTATTCGGTTCGGTTCGGTTTCAGTATCGGTTCGGTTCGGTTCCGAGTTTTATTAGAAAAATGATATATTTCTTTTAAAAATATTCGGTTTTTCGGGATTTTTAAAGCGGTTCGGTTCGGTTCGGTTACGGAAAAATTCGATTCTTTAAAAATGGTACCGTTCGGAAAATAACAGCGGTTTCGGGTCAGGAAAAATACCGTTTTAACGGTTTGGTTCGGTTCGATTCCGAAGAACCGAACCGAAACGCCCAGCCCTAGAAAAGACTATTAATGACATTCATCTTCAAACCAAAACTTCCTAAGCTTCTACGATTTTTTTGAGCTAAAAATGTTATGTTTTAAGTGAAGCTCAGCTTCCCCGGGGGGGGGGTGTCGGTGGGCATATAGCAATTGAAAATTCTTGGTTGACTTTTTGGACTTTAGCTTTCTTTGTCCTGTTATGGCTTTTGCAATCCGCTGATTGAGATCGTAACACACGGAGAAGTACCGAAGTTTATTCTCTTTCTATGTTATTTAATAAGTTACCTCTCACTCCATATCCCGTGACGCTGTTGAAAAATATTAAAAACGAAAACAATCTTTTTTTGTTCGGTCGATGTATGATCATAATGCGGGTAATGTTGTTTTACTCAGCCACTCTCACGTATACTTCCACCCAGAATGTGAAATCATAACCTATAATACAGACAGACTGCATGTCAACGCTCTCATTGCAGAAAGGAAAATCAGAGACGCTACGAGTAACTGTTAAAAAGGAAAACTAAATTCGTATCGTAACCAATAGAAGCAAAAAATCCATTTTCCAGTAAACACAAATTCCAAAAGTCTTTTTTGAGAATAACCGTCGTATCAAATGTACTTAAAAGGAGAGCAATCACTGTACAGAAGACATGTGTAGAGAGTTAACTCGGGGTTGTGTAAGATTTGTGAGTTCAGAAGAAAAAAAAAACACACACACACTTGCCTCCAACTATTCTTTTTTTTTTTGCCCAGTTTTCTCGTCTGTTAACAAGGATTTAGTTAGGAGGAGAGCTCATCGTTACCTGAAAGTTCCGTACATATTCGATGTTCTGCACAAGGAAACAAGACACTAAGCTTAGTAAGGTAACATAGAAGAAGCTGAAGACAGATGATGACAGAGACGTTACCACTCAGTCATTGTAAGAACTAAGGGCGGCAACAACAGATCCAGTGGTCGGAAGAGTCGATGATACGTCCGGGTAATCTTTCCACGAAGTGTTGATTCTAAGAGACGGATAAAGCCAAGACTTGACCGAATTGATAAATGACTCTGGTTCGAGGTTAAGTATGGCTTCCCAGTCAACTTGTACCCCTTTCGGAATATTTCCAGTGAACTCCATGTTGGCTGCAAGCAGCAGTCCCAGTAATACTACAAACCCTACTGCCGCTGTTCCGCGTGTTAACGGCATAAAATTGTACCTGTAAGACCCTTGCATGATTTCATAACTCCTACCCAAAAAAAAATGATTTGCAAAATGAATCAGAAGTTATAAATCCATACCAGTAATATGTCAGCCTTAGGATAGAATCTCTCAGGTTTTCTAGCAGATTGAAGTCGGTTGAACCATAGTTCTCCCCACAGTAGGCTTTGCATAAAGCCTGGCATCAAATACGCATATGTAAGTTCCTTTTTTTAGGAAAAAAATCTATTTTCGACATGTATAGGCATTGGCTTACCTCCCATGCTGATGTCATCTCAGCATCAAAATCATCCCACCTTGCAGGTGTACACGGAGTTCGGATGGCGAAATCATACCCATGCTCTCCTCTGAAGATACCAGTAATCGACAAAAATATAGAAAAGTGTGATGAAAAGCGTTGCATATGAAGAAGATAAATAAATTTGTTACTTCAAATGATGCATTAGTAGAGTTTACATTTTTCTCAAGCAAGTGATTCTAGTCCCTTCCAGTTGCTTCCTGAAAGAAGCACAAACACAAGAAAACACAGTCAAGACCACAAAACTTCTATGGAATACAAACTCGGGGCTAAAGAAGCTCACCCCTCGCATGCTGTACTGTTGCACCAAGTAGACACCCAGAAATCCTCACCAACGATTTTGTGAAGCTCGATGCATGTTTCAGCCTGCATAATCTGCAAGTTTTCATGTTTCAGGAAGAGCATAGTATAGTGATAGAGAACAATAGCAAATGAAAATACTCGGAGCTAGAAACATCATGTAACAAGTTTTACTGACTTTCTCTATCTTCCCCTCTTTAGTTAGATCAATGACATCATCTCTCTTGCTGTGTACAATGCGTCTGTCCTTTATGATTGTCTTTGCAAGATTTAGGGTCCTGAAGTCTCAAAATGGCATCCATCAGTTCACAGAACAAAGAAAAAGGCGCCATACAATAAAAATAAAAATAAAAACCTCTTCCTTTTTGGCATGTAATTTTTACCTTTCGTAATTTGGGAAATAGCGAGCTACTTTTGCTTGTCCACGTATCATCGGGGTATGAGAACCAAACCCAGAATTAAACTCTTCACTGGAAATGAAAAAAAAAACATCAGATTATAACCCCCAGAGTAAATAAACAGGGCTGTTGCTTAGCAATCGAATACATATAAATTTTTAGGAAAACCTATACCAAAATGGCTGCCACACCTGCAAGCGGTTCTAGTACTAGCAAAACAAAGACTTGCCAATCCAGAACCTGGTGTGGCTTTGTAAGAGGCTCAACTTGAAAAGCAAAAAGAGAAAGATGCTTGTGATATGCCTGTACCTTAATTTGTTAACCCACACAACTGGATCACAAGGCTCTGAAATTTGTCGCCACCTGACGGCCAAGGTATAAACTTCTTTCCATGACATCATAAAGCGACCAGATGATCGATCTTCTAGAGTGCCATATCCAGTTGCCGTTTCAGAGGAACTGCTAGTACTACATCCTGCACCACCTCTATTCTGGCTAAGCATATTAATTCTCTCTCTCCTCCGATTTCTTCTCCCATTTCTCGTGGTGCCTTTGTTAGAATGTTTCCATTCTGCTTGCATAGAGCGCCAAGCTTTTGCAACCTTCTGGGCGATCTCGATTGCAGCCAATCCTGCCATTCGATGCTGGTGTATCATGGAAGCATGCACGATGAAGATAACAAAATAAGTAACATTTTTTACCGAAAGAGGGGAGATTTCAGATCTAACAAGAACAACAGAGGCATATTCAAGTACAAATGTGAAGCGTATAAGGTGATCAGATGGAACAGGTCTTTTCTGGACAAGAAAAAAAGGTGTTGCAAGGAGGTGAAAAACATCTTTGGGTGCACCTTTTGCAGGCAAGATAAAAGGCGGATGTAGTTCCGGAAAAGAAGGTTAACATCAATTCAACAAGAGAGTACTGATTTCCCATGTGATTGGGTTTAGAATCACCTGACGTCTGTTGGGTAAAAATCCAGGGCAATCATACTGAATCTTCTTGCCAATTAAATCAGCAGCAGCAAGAAGAGTTGTCCTTGGCTTAGTTATTGAAAGATCTTGCTTTTTCAGTTTACCCTTCTTCAGAGATTCACGTAAGGGAGGTTGTCTGTAAACCTTTTCACACACATTCTTAGGGTGTAATCTTTTGCACCAATACTCCTGAAACGCCCAGAGAAAAATAAAAGAAGAATGTCACCACACAACTGAGAAAAGGAAAGAGGGGTGAAGGAACCCTTAGGTTCCCGTTTATATACCCGGCATCCATTGATTGAATATGCCATGTAAAATATCTCTAATAAACTAATCGATAGTTCCGTTACATGTACTCGTTCAAAATCAGGTATACTTCTTTGACACCCTATTGGTGCAAATAAGACTGACTATACAGGAAAACAACAGGCGTTGTAAAAGAAGCAACTTGCAGAACATAACATATTTGTTTTCGGCAAAGTTAAACAAAACTATACGAAAAGAAATGTTACCTTGAACATTGGATCTATGTCAGCATCAATATCAAAGCACAGAAACTCGCTATTAACTTTTGAAGCTGTGTATAAAGCAATCTCCTTCTGCAGTGGAAGAATGTTAACGTAGGAGCTCTTGTGAGGGAAAGTTATGGTATCGAAACTTATGATTCATCCAATTCTATTTGATAGAACATATAATGAAACCTGATAAAATGCCAAGCATTGAAGCACAAACTTCTCCATCGCATCCAGTTCCACATCCACCGTAGCATCATAGTCCTTCACCTGTGGGCATAGTCAAGCAAAGTAAAAAGAGAGGAAAACCTCAAAAGAAGAGCCATGTGATAAGTGTCCCACATCTTAAGAGTGGAGGTTTGACCCTCCGTATATATTAGCCCCAAATCCCTCTCTTTTTCCAATGTTGGACACTTATCAATACCGCCCCCTTTAGACAGGGACGTCGATGGCGGCTTCTCGGTCCATCCCCGACCGTTCCTCTCCTGATCGTTTCTCTTCCGACCATTCCACAACCACCGAGTCGACCGCATGTCCGCAGGAGAACAGCCCGTCAAAGGCCCACCCGAAAGAAGAGAGCTAGGCTCTGATACCAATTAATAAGGTTTAGGCCTTAACTCCACCACAAAAGCTAGCTTAAGAGTGGAGGTCTGAACCTCCTTATATATTGGCCCCAAATCCCTCTCTTTTTCCAATGTGGGACACTTATCAATCTTTTTCCAATGTGGGACACTTATCACCATGATGATTACAGAAGGAATATTTACCGCATCTCTAAATTCTCCAATTGCATGATAGCAGGAACCCCTTAAGTACAGGCACTCTATTGTGTTCTCAATGCTCAAGCTGATTGATAATTCTTTGATAGCCTTCCTGAAAAGTGACGGGAATTAACAGGGAAATAATGCTTGAGTAAAAGTGATTGCTTATCAGAACTGACTTGACACAAATACCACAATGATTATCAGCACCAAACTATCTGTTGTACCTCAAACATCCTTTTGCTCGAAATCAGATTTCTTACCACCATGAATTAACAGAGGAAAATTATCTTGCAGGACATTAAGCCTATGATTTAGATACTGGACAATAGACATTGCTGAACTCGCTCAAGGCTTAATCACAATGCATGTACATTGTCCTCTTCCCCTCTAAGAGGACTTCGGAGTCCTATGGAAATTCACATGCTAACCTTACATACCTGTGTTCACCTAGTCCGTGCAACACTAATCCACGCAAATGATAGGCCTTGCAGAACCTGTTAAAAAGAGGGAAATCCATATATACATGGTAAGGGTAGAAGTATGGGATCATGCCCTTGGATGTTACAGCCAGAAATACAGTGAAACACAAATGACTCTCCGACTACAAACACAATTATTACCTGTTGTCAATTTGTAGAGCATGCTCAAGGCATTCCAAAGCCTTGCTGTAGTTTGCTAACTCTTGATAAAACTGCCAGGAGAAGGCCGAGGAGAGCCGTGATATACGCAGTGAAGAAAAAAAAAGTTAGGCCCATGTTTGTCAATCAACTCATGCAAGAAAATAGAATAAACCAATGATAAATCTGTAAAGGGGAATGACTCTACACTCGCCAATCGCAGACAGAAGTTAGGTGCTTAGTAATACAAAACAACCAAGTAAACACGATCTTCCAGAAAAACTCAGCACTTGCCTCATAAACCAGAAGCATGTAATTCATATTTCAAACTTTTATTTGGAAATTTCATCAGCTTCAGTACATTACATCACCAGTTAGGTGTTTTTCTAACATTATGTGAAAACACTCAAATTAATATAATTAGTGTCCAGAAGACAGCCCTATCTTTACTATGCTTCAGTTTTACCATTCAAATTTCAGCAAAAAAGCCATGAACCATGGCTTGGCAGTCGCATAAGCTTTAATAGTTACCTGAGCAAGATGAACCCAAGCCTCAAGATAACTTTTATCAAGCTGGATCGACTCCAAATGCGCCTCTTCAGCTTTTTTATATTCGCCAAGAGAACACAATGCGAGTCCCTGTAAAGATCAACAAAGTTTGACTAAGAAAACTTGACCATGTCCATGGAATCATGGATACTTTTAAAAGCATTAGAGAAACAAATGTTAACCGTACCAAATATGTATATGCCGATTTGTTTTCTTTCTCGTGCTTCAAACATAAAGAAAGGTCTTGTACAGAGGCATTGAAGTCCTTACATTTGAAATTAACAATACCTGAATTGATGGCAATCATCAACAACATTACATGGTAAACTACAGCTAAGAGCAGGTGCAGAAAAGATCGAGGACCACGTGCTACAACTACCAGGAGGCAGACAATGAAATTGACGGGGAAGGGGAACCAAGAAATAAAAACAAAGGAAACAATTTATGTGAGAAGTTCATGAGACAAAAGACAACCTTCTTAACAATATTGTATTGTGGACAGGCACAAAAACTGCTCAAAGGCATAGATAAGAAGCAACTTGTGTTCTCAATATGATTTCAAAGCTAATCAATAGAAATTTCACGAAATACAAATTATGGAACATCAAAACTGGTAGGAAAGGCAAGAGGTACAATGAAATAAAATGGCCAGTTTAATTTAAAGAAGCTTACCCCTTTCATGCAACATATCAGCTGAATCTGGCTCGAATTCCAGTGCTTTAGATAGATCTTCAATAGCCTGTAATCAAAAGGTTAGCTAAAACCACTATTGTGCAAGAAATTTTCCAGATTTTTACACATTAATTGAAAGTAGAATATAATCAAGAAGCTTAATCCAAATATTAGACATCTATGAGACCACGGAAATCAATGGCCGGGAAAAGCGATGAGAGGCTCCAAGCCAAAAGAAATACAAATATAAGTTAAATGCAAAGACTAGTCCCAGAAAATATCTATCTTAGCTTCGATGAAACCAGCGATGTAGAGGAGAATTGGCACCATTCTCACCTCAGCAAATTCCCCTAAAGCAGCACGGGCCTGGCCTCTCCGTTTCCATGCCTCACCTGCTGCTGGGTTAGATTGAATAGCCTGACCAGCGTTATGATCAAGTGAGAAAAATTATAAACTAAGCCCCTTCCGTAACAACTGTTCTTTTGTTTGTCAATACCTTAGTAAAATCAGCAATAGCAGGTTCAAGCTCTCTTTGGAATGCATAGGCCGTCCCTCTACCTATAAGTGCTTCAGGGTAACAAGGATCCTCTCTCAGTATCTGCAAGAGAAACAAATCCGATAATTCTATGATCTTGTTTTTTGTTGAAAGCAACCTTCAAGAAGCAAGATCGGGGACAAAAGGCAAAAGGTAATAACAGGTAGAACAGGTCACCCAAGATCAGCACACGACAAATTACCTGATCAAAAACAGATATAGCAGATGCATAGTTTCCCTCATTCACCTGTTGACAGAACAGAGCACAGTAACAAAAATGTTATAAGACATACGTCTCATAGCATTTGCAATATGACATATTGCACCATTATACCATCTGATTTGTAAATTAAACCTGTGCAATGCCTCTGGATAGCCGAAAATCCACACTTATTGATTTCGTTTTTGAAATTCTTGCTATTGTGTACTTCTTGTTTCTCTTGGACCCATCGCCAGCTTCAGAATGCATATCAGCTTTACTGCTCAACTTGCTCAGAAATCCAGGTTTGAAGCTCGATTTTTTGCTAGCGGTTGAAGAACCAACTAATTTATCAGGATTTTCACTCAACTTTTTATGCACCCCAGAACCATTGCATGGTTGGAATGTATCCTGCAAACAACTGATTTTTCCACCAGATATTCCATTCTCTTTTCCTTTAAAAGTTGAGCCAGTACAAGAGTTAAAACTATCACCAGATCTTTCACTTGTTGTCGAAGCATCCCTTGAGACACTACTGATCTTTGATTGCTCACCCAATTCCTTGGAACACTCATAAGATTCTCCGTTGCTACATGCTCTTAATTTAAAAGCTTCCGTGCTTGACATTTTGTCGGCACTCTTGCACGTCCCATTTGGGATACCATGTTCATCCTGCTTGCAAAATGTTTCTTCGAACCCCACACTAGCACATGATCCTATAGGTAAGCCAAGGGACAATTGCTGAAATTCATCATCTTCAAGTTGGAAAGCACCACCAATCTCTTGTTTTGCAACATTAAGGAGTTCTTCTAGTTCTAACAATTGCCTCAAATCCGCTGACTGCCGAAGAGCACTTTCATAGCCTTCCCCCAAAACAAGAACCGCATCCTCTTTCCTTCCCAAAGCGGAGAGGGCATGTCCTAGATGGGGGAGAACCGGTAAACTTAAAATCATAGACAGTATTACACACAAAAACAGAAAATTTTCATCGCCGCACCATAATTCATATTGTCGGGATAGCAAATTTACACCTCACCTCAGCACTACGGCCCTAGCTGACTACCAGTCTACTCATACATTTCCTATGAGATCTACATCTTTGCAGAATAATTCCGCACTCATGAAAGCCCTAACAAGGTCCTTCACCTGAACTGAATGCTATCGAAGTTCCAACTCACTACTTTATCATCACAAGTACCAGAAATTGGTACTGATTAAATCCAAATACTAATTGTCGTTCTAACACCGTAATAGTACTCGAACCACCAGAGTAACTACAATTGATCTTCAAGCAGTATTGACAAACAATGAGTGAACGAACCTTTGAGGATATAAGCTTGAAGGAGCGAAGGTTCAAGCTGAAGAGCCTTGTCACAGTCCTTAATCACATGCTTGTGAAGCTCCAATTGACTATAACAAAAGGCTCTATTGCTGGGGAAAGAAAACAAAAAATTACACAAAATGAGAATCACACAGACAGAGCCGGATTCGATGAACTCGATCGGAGGAATTAACATCGGATAGATGACCGCGAGGACCAACCATAAGTCTTGAATCGAGCAGTGTTTGGCGATGAGCGAGTCGAGGACTCGGATCGCTTTGGACCAGTTCCGAGAGCTACAGTGCTTCGCGAGCTCGGCTCGCTCCGACATCATATTCTCCATAACGAGCTCCTCCAATGGCGAATCTCAGGCGGCCTTTCTCTCTCTATCTCTCCCCTTCGTCTTCGTCGTCTCCTACCTCTTCAACAGTTATCTAAGAGGAGAGAGGATCGAGGTGAAGGAGTAAAGAGGGCATTTACGGGGAGGAAGACGGGAAAGAGGAGACTTTGACGAAGGGCGAAACGGGAAATAAAAGAATCGGAGACACGATGGTGGTGGTGGTCGTGGTGCTGGTGTCACACACGCTGCTTCCCCCAAATCAAACGTTGGGAAGTTGCCACACGTGTACAATTCACCATCACGTGACTGACACGCGAGTGGTATATCTGGGCCAAAGCCCAATTTCCATCTATGTTTATAATGGGTAAGGCCCAGTTTGGCCCACGAATAAACAAATTTTTTTATTTTAAAACAAATTGAAGTGGACGACCTACCTCCTTTGACGACAAACGCCCGTGAAACAAAAACAGATCGTTCACATTGCTCTTCAACACTTTGGCTTCACTAAAGTCTAATTCCAAACCCAATATAATATAACGAAATCTGTATATTGACCATAAAACAAGAAGGGAATATTAAATATTGTTTCTTCTTCGGTATCTTTACAAAAATGCATTGTTATAGTATCTTAGTTTACAAATATAAATGGATACATTTGCGGGAATAAGTCGTACATTAAAAGTCCGAATAGAAAATACAGATAAGAACTAAGGAAATGAAAGAAGAATAATCATATTATTCGATTATAAAAAGAACTACAGATCAAGGTCATCATAAAACGACAACGTAGCGTTAAACTCGGAGACACGTCGCGTCGAAATCAGGCCACGCCTTTTTCTTTTTCTCCGATCGTGCCTTTGTTTTTTCCCCTCTTTCACACAGCGATGTCGTGGCGGATGTGGCGGAGCAGGACGGGAACGACGGAGTCCGGCGAGCTGAGTTGCGGGAGATGACCGTCGGAGGGGATGACTTCGACGATGGATTCGCCGCCGAGATTGGCGTGGAGGTACTCGGAGACGACGACGGGAACGGCCAAGTCCTTGACGCTTTGGAGGATGTGACAAGGGACCGAGACATAGGGCAAGATCTGACGCATGTCGCTTTGGAAGATGGTCTGAGCCACCGACAAGGCTATGTCCGGTCTCATGTTGAAGAGCGTGGCAAACATATGAAAGGGCGTTCATCAAGAAATGGATTGATTTAGGTCTAACAGTTTGTCCAAAGACTCGGCAGACTCTGAATCACACAACCCTTATACCCAATTACACCGTGAAGGCCTTAATCGTTAACTGGTGTGAGACCAACAATGTCAGATTGCCAGATCCCACTAAATCAACGAGCTTAAACCGTCCGGCTGAATTCTTGGACCGCCACCGAGTCCAGGTCCCCACCCACTGCCAACGGTGCGAACCCCATGCACCATGCCTTGTAGTTGTTTCTCATCGCTTCGAACAGTTGGTTCAGGTCGTCTTGCTCGAACCCTCCTTGGTAATCCACATCGTTTACGTATCTGATCCACCATACCCAACAACTTTCATTTTCTTTCGTAGAACAGAGGGGTATGAGTTTTATATATCCATATATAAAATATACCTGAGAAAACCAGGTTTTTAAATTGATTTTTTAAACGGATAGATCAGACATTTTTTAACTCGTGTCAAACTATACATATATATATATATATATCAATAAAATAAACATAAATAGATGCGTATACACAAAATGAAATCTTGCGTGATTTACCTGGGAGAAGCGGAGATCATGACGATCTTGGAGAAAAGATCGGGTCTGTTCAGGGAAGCAAGAACACCGACCATGGCGGAGACAGAGTGTCCGACAAAGATGCAGGATTCGATCTGAAGATCCTCAAAAATGGCGATGAGGTCAAACGCGAAGCCTTCGAGGGTCGAGTATCTCTCGAAGTCGAAGTACTCTGGGTTCGTCGTTCCGGCACCGATGTTGTCGTACAACACGACACGGTAATCCTCCACGAGATGCGGAACTAGATGCTTCCACACCGACTGGTCCGTACCAAACCCATGACCCAGTACGATCGTCTGCCCACCTGAGCCTAGCACCTTCACGTTGTGAGCTTCTTCCACGATTCCCATGGCGGCTTAAGTCCTCTCTTTTTTTTTCTCTGTTTTTCCCCCCAAAAGGCTTAATGGGTTAGAGAGAGAGGATTCTTTCTTCCCCCTCCTCGTTTTATTTTGTTTTTTTTTTCCACAATCTATGATTTGTGTATCTGATAATATCAACTTTGGAATTATCTTTGATTTTATAGCTACGCAAGTGTACTAGTGAATTTGTGCGAAATGAATGAGCCACCCCTAAAGGCCACATATTCTCTATCGTTCGCAACTATCTCAGAAGATATTTTGCTCGTCCCTCGAAGATTTTTATTTTTAATTTCTATTAGTTATTACGATTTTTTTTTAACGCATTTGCCCACATCTGTAAAGGAGTGCATGTTTTCTTGAATATTTAATTGAGGAAATAAAAAAATGGTTTAAAAAAAGCGTAAAGCAAAGAGTCTCGGTGATTAATATGCGACCACGTTCACATGTCCACGTCCGCATGTTGCTTCTCTGGCGACGGATGAACCTCCAAAAGGGCTTGGCCCATTGTTATTTATGGGCGATTTAATAGGTTTCCGTAACAAACCGATGAATTTATAGATAGATAGATATAAGCACGACTCCTTCTTATATAACCGGATTAATGTTTGTTTAATAAAAGGGTTCACACGAACATCGGGCGAACCATGCACGTGAACATTATATAATTAGGTTGTAAGAAATAAATTATTATGTGGCCCATGTAATTTGGGCTTTCGGATTTTAATATTAATATGGTTCTTTGATGGATAAGAACTCATTAAAGAATTAAGGCCCATGGTATTATTGGAAGTCCCCTCTCTCCTTACCATAATACAACTAGGGTTTTCGCACCCTATAAAAGGAATATTATGGTTCATTATTTCTGTCCATCAAGAAAAACTTATAGTACGGGAGAAAGGAGGGAAAACCTAGAAGACTTTTGGTTCTTAAAGTTATTCCACTGCAATTCATGGATCCAGGTATGGTTTTCTGATCTATGTTTCGTTGATTGTTTTGTGTGAATTATATAAAGCCAGATCCAGTTTATCGTTTGGGTTTTCATAAAAGCAAATCTCTGAAAACCTGAAATTATCTTACATGGTATCAGAGCCTGGTTTCTGGCTTAATATAATTCACCGGTTAAAGTTTTCCATCGGATTAAAGTTTTCTCTAATTATATATTTAGAGATTCATATATCGATGAGAAAGTTTGATTTCTTTTTCTAATGTTCATCTTTGAAATAATAAGATATTACATAGATTTGAAATCTGTGATATGATTTCTCTTTTTGAAATCTGTATGTATAATGAATGTATAATGAATTTATACATGGTCATATGAATTTCTCTTTTAAGTCAATATGTATAATAAATTTATATATTGTCATATTTTAATATTTTATGCATATATATATGATATAATGATGTATATTTTGACGTGCATATTAAAGGTACATATGCATATATGTGTATGTTACGGATCTTACAGTGTTTTGATGTATTCATATACAGTTATTAAACTTATAGAATTTTATTTATTTGAGATATATTTATAATTCGATATAATAGTGATATATATATATATATTAAATTTTATTTATGTTTATTTATGCATATAATAATGGTAGTCAATATATGCATATATATATAGGTCGAATTGTATATAAAAGTTATATCTTCTTTTCTTTTCTTTTTATTCGATTCGATATCTACATTATTGAATCTTGTTAGTCACCAAAGTGGTCTAGATTAATTAAGATTAGATATTCAAATCGAATATTTTCAGTTGTTCAAAATGAAAGGATGCTAAAAGATGATATAAAGGTATAGTTGAACAATTGAGATTATTAATTGTATCGCTATGAGGTCGACCAAAGTTGGACCATTGCATATAGATAATAATATTAAAAGGGATTGATATTTTATCTTGATCAATAAGTATGTATATCCAAAGATTGCATATTTATTTGATTTTTGATATTATGATGTCCATAAAAGTATTTTGTATCAATGTTGGTATGCGTATTTAAATTCCTGCCCAAAGGTGAATTTAAATACGTCTTATAACTTTTGATACATTAAATTATTGTGATTGTAGCATCAATGATTGTGTTTGTATTTAAGTATTGCCCAAAGGTTGCTTAAATACGTCTTAAGTTTCTCGTTTTATTTCGTTAACTCAAAGCATTAATAAGTGAGCATGTATAAATGTTTTGCAGCGTCTTTTAACCCTATGGCAACTGGCAATGCTGTGGTCAAGTTCAACGGGCTTAACTATGCAGATTGGTCTGAATAGATCCAGTTTTATCTGGGTGTTTATGATTTGGATCTTGCATTATTGGTTAGTGAAAAGCCTGTCATAACAGATACCAGCTCAGAAAATGAAAGGACTTATTTTGAGTCCTGGGAGCGATCTAATAGGTTATGTTTGAACCTTATGAGGATGACCATGGCGGAAAGTGTTAAGGCATCAATGCCTAAGACTGAAAGTGCAAGGGAATTTATGGATAAGATTAAAGAGTATTCACAATCGGATTTAGCTGATAAGTCAATTGTAGGCAATCTCATGAGTGAGCTGACTACGAAAAAGTTTGACTGGTCTCAACCTATCCATGATCATGTGACTCACATGTCTAACATGGCAGCAAAGTTGAAGACTATGGGGATGGATGTTAGTGAAACATTTTTTGTTCAATTCATCATTAACTCTCTGCCTGTTGAGTTTGGTCAGTTCCAGGTGAATTACAACACCATTAAAGAAAAATGGAACTTTCAAGAATTGAAGGCCATGCTGATACAGGAGGAAGGGAGATTAAAGAAGATAAAAGGACACTCAGTCCACCTCGCAGTCCATGATAGTGCCGGCAACAGTAAGAAAAAGCCAGGGAAAAATGATAAAAGGAAGGATAAAGCTCCAATGAAAGCTAATGTGAGCCAAATCCAGAAAGAAGTCAAGTGTTTCTTCTGCAAGAAGAGTGGACACATTAAGAAAGACTGCAAGAAAAGAAAGGAATGGTTCGAGAGTAAAGGTAAACATAATATTTTTGTTTGCTTTGAATCGAACATTATTGAAGTACCTAATAGTACCTGGTGGTTAGATTCTGGTGCAACAACTCATGTTTCTCATATTAAACAGGGATTTCGTATGATCCAACCCATAAAAGGACCTGAAAGACACGTGGTTATGGGAAACAGGATGAAAGCACGAATAGAAGGCATTGGGACTTATAGATTGATCTTGGATACTGGTTGTCATATAGATCTTGAAGGGTGTCTCTATGTTCCTGAATGTGCTAGAAATCTTGTTTCCGTAGGAAAGTTGGATTTAATGGGTTTTTCTGTCAAGTTTGCTTCTGGTATTTTTCAATTATATAGACATGAGTACCTTTATGGTTCTGGTATTTTAATGGATGATCTTTATCGTTTCAATCTTGACAGAAAGTTTTCTGAATCCCTGTTTAATGTTGAGAATAGTGTGGTAATTAAACGTAGTGCACCCGATAATGAAAGTTCTGCTTTATTGTGGCATCAAAGATTAGGTCACATATCCAAAGAAAGGTTAATGAGGTTGATGAAAAGTGACATTCTACCTCATTTGGATTTCAGTGACTTAGGAGTGTGTATTGACTGTATAAAAGGAAAACAGACTAAACATACATCAAAGAAATCAGCCACAAGAAGCACTCAGCTTATTGAGTTGATTCACACTGATATCTGTGGACCTTTTGATATCCCTTCATGGGGTGGAGAAAGGTACTTTATCACCTTCATTGATGATTATTCACGTTATGGTTATGTTTATCTACTGCATGATAAATCTCAATCTGTGAACGTCCTTGAAGTGTTCATTAATGAAGTTGAGAGGCAGTTAGATAAAAAGGTTAAAGTTGTGAGATGTGATAGAGGTGGTGAGTATTATGGTAAATACGATGAAAGTGGACAATGTCTAGGTCCATTTGCAAAATTTCTCGAAAGTAGGGGCATTTGTGCACAGTATACAATGCCCGGTACACCTCAACAGAATGGTGTAGCTGAAAGGCGGAATCGTACATTAATGAACATGGTTAGGAGCATGATATGTAATAGCTCTTTACCTCTTTCACTGTGGATGCATGCATTAAAGACGACAACATATTTGCTAAATCGGATTCCTTATTATTAGGAATTTTAGGTCTTTATTGGATAACATGTAGTTTTGAATTTCAGGATTTGTTAGTAAAGCAGTCCCTAAAACACCTTATGAATTGTGGATGGGGAGGAAACCGAGTTTGAGACACTTACATGTTTGGGGTTGTCAACAGAAGTAAGAGTATATAATCCACATGAAAAGAAACTTGATCCTAGGACAGTCAGTGGATTCTTCATTGGCTATCCAGAAAAGTCTAAAGGATTTATATTTTATTGTCCTAACCATAGTACGAGAATTGTAGAGGCTGGCAATGCAAGGTTCATAGAAAATGGTCAAATCAGTGGGAATGTTAAACCACGCAAGGTGGACATTGAGGAGATTCAGGATAATGTTTTAACACCTGATATCCCTTCTACAGTTATTGTTCCTCAAGTCACATCAATGTCACGTGATATTTTGGTACAACAGAGGAATGTCCAAAACCCACATAATGAAGATATACCCGATGAACCAGTCACATCACAAGAAGAGTTTAATGAACCACAAGTTATACTGAGACGGTCTGAAAGGGAGAAAAGATCCGCTATCTCAGATGACTACATGGTTTATACTCTTGAACATGAATGTGACTTAAGCATTGATGATGATCCATTCTCATTTAAGCAAGCCATGAATAATAGTAATTCTAAAAAGTGGTTTGATGCCATGAAAGATGAATTAAAGTCAATGGATGACAATAAAGTTTGGGACTTAGTTGATTTACCGAATGAGTCAAAGAGAGTTGGTTGTAGATGGTTCTTTAAGACTAAGCGTGACTCAAGTGGTAATATCGAAAGGTATAAGGCCCGACTTGTTGCTAAAGGTTACACCCAGAAAGATGGCATCGACTATAAAGA